AACAAGGCTCATATTTTAAAGTTATATGGAAAACATCTTATATGGCTACTGAATAAAACTGAAGGAATGTCAAAATGACTCTGATTAAAGAAATATGAACTGAAAATAAAAACTGTCATCATTTTTCTAACTCTAAGTAAGACATAAAAACTTTAATCTCACTTAATCAAGAAAAACAAATTGTCTATGGTAACTAGCAATAGTTTGGTTGCCTATATTATTCAAAACTTGATGAAGAGTAAACAATGACAGCATTTTAACTGTTCCTTTAACATGACTGCATTTGGAAATATTTTTATGTTGGTGGCTTGGTGCAATAAGTTCAATGTTTTTATAAGTTTGCAATTCCACAGGCCTGATGGACTTTTGTTGTCTGGATAAAAGCAGTTAAACATTTTTAAAGGGATAGTTCATTCAAAAAAATGATGGATCTAATAATTACTTGTCTAGTTTCAAGCCCCCAAGACCTTCGTTTATCCTTGGAACACAAACAAAGACTTTTTTTGGGATGAAATCTGAGAGCTCTCTTATCCTCAGTAGACAGCAATGTTTCTGACCCATTCAAAGTCCAGAAAATTACCATATAAATCATTAACACAGTCCATGTTCTTGAGTGGTTCAACCGGAAGATTAAGAAGCTATACATTTGTGCATCTATGAAACAAAAATGATGACTTTATTAACAGCTTCTTCTCAGTGTCAGTATAGGGCTTTCATGAGCACTGTGCACTAATACTCCGAATACCCAGATGCCCACGGCACTCTTGTGAAGATGCACCCTATATTGACACCAAAGCAAAGACACTGCTAGATGATTTTTCTGGATCTTGAGTCAAAAAACTTTGCAGTCTATGGAGGATGAGGGAGCTCTCAGTTTTGTTCTAAAATATCTTAATTTGTGTTCTGAAGATGAACTGAGGACTTAAGGTGAGGGTGAACTATATTTTTTTTGGGTGAACTACCACTTGAAGACACCTGACAACTTTGGAACAAATCAACCGTCAATAGTCAAACAAATGATTAGAGTATTTTATTTTTGGTATATGGGCCAGTATAAGATTCTGACGGTTTCGCAGTATTGTGATTACTGCTCTAAAATATATTATTTTTAAATATCTGGGTAAAAAAACAAAGACTTTTCCCCCCTTTGAACACAATAGAATTCATTTTGTGAAACATTTTAAGCATTTTGGAACAGTAAACGTGTCAGGCCGAGTAATGAAAATAAATCATTGACTTCAGCTGTCTTCATTTGTTTCAAAAACAGATTTCTTTACGATAAAAAAACGCCATCATTTCATATCTTTTCTGCGAGAGATACTGTTGTACTAAAAAAAAAAAATATATTAAATCTTACATATATACCTTAGGAACAGTATAGTAAAAATTTGTCAGTTTTAAAACCTTGACTTTTCTAAATCACGGTATACCTTGAAAACGGTTATCATCCCATGCCTAGTTTTAGGGGATTTTCCACTCTAGGTGAATCACATTTTATTGTATATGCAATAAAATAGAACACATAAATCACTTTCTAAAAATAACTACTTCATCTAAAAATATCTTGGTTTAAACATTGACTTATAATTGTGATTATACTGCCAACAAGATCAAAGTCCTCCTGAAGTTAAGGGCCATTGCTCTATTGAAATGCCCTTCTGTAATGCAATTCTGGGCAGTTCCACTTCTAATTCCCAAGAACACACCCTTGGTAAAACAATGAAGAGTCAGGTATGCAATAACAGAAACAGTCCAGCACAAACAGGTTTCTTAACTCTACCCAGAAACCCAACTGAAACACTTTAAAATGCACTCATGCATCTATTGCTCAACTTACACGTACCTTAAATGAAAAAAATGTTAAGAGTAAAACAACACTTTGTTATTTAAAAACCAACCAACAAACAAACGAACACAGCTATGTGTGATGCTGGCAAACTAACAGGTGAACGTTGTAAAATAACACATCACGCAGTTTAAAGCGACTTTACCTTGTATGTGCTCTCGGTGAGTTTGTTCACGTCCTCCGAGGCTCGAGACATTTTAGCAGGTATTCCTCAAACGTCCTTGGTGACAATTTGTTTGTTTCAACTTTCCACGTTCAGATCCTAAAAGCTGCGTTTTGTCCCACCTGTTAAGGCTTGTTAAGCGGCACAGAACAGAGCGCTCATGCGCTCCCGAGAAAACACGACACTGCACTGATGCAGGAGAGGATGAAACCTTTCCGCGCGACCTCATGCCACACGTGGAAAGGTGGGATCCGTGACGTCAGAGCTGAACTACAAGACTACAAACAAAAGGTGTTTTTTTTCTTCGGTATGATTTTTTTCTCAATATTGCTACTTTCTTTGTAGAATTTGGCTATTGTAGCCTGATTATATTTATTAAAATATAATTATTTATAATTTTTTATAAATTTATAAATATCAATTTCAGTAAAAATACAATCCAAATAATACATAAACATTACAAACTATATGAAAAAATACTGGGTTGAATATCAATGCGCTCGCACTAAAAAAATAGTATTTTATTAATTGCCCAAATAAATAACTTCATGCGGTACAGATTTAAAAAAAGAAAATCAAATAAAAAATATGGTATCGCTTTAAATAAATCTTTTATAAAAATAAATAAATCTTTATGACATGCTGGAATGCTTTAAATATTGAAAATAACATTTTATATTAAATCATATCAGTATTAAGAAACATTTCAGTATTACTGAATATTGAATAAATGCAAATCCAATTTCCAAATAAGTGACATATAGGCCTAAGTCAGTTTATACAGTTATATTTTACTAATCTTAAGGTAAAATATGGTTGTAATAAGCAGTCCGTCAAATTGTGTTTTAACTAACCAATTTGTTTTAGCTCAAAATTTCTCTTTCACTAGCAATATCCATATTTGAGTCATTTTAGCTGATTTTGTGCAAAACAACCATGATGTTGTGAGAGTTATGTGTGGATCGAAGATGTATATCAAATTCATACTGTATCAGAATGTGTTAACAGAATCTGAGGACATTTCAACTTTTACAGCGCCACTTTGTGGCCGTGTGTGTTGTTCTACAGAGTCACTGAGAGATAAGGTAGTTCTGCTTGCTGTTTTAAAAGTTGTTTGCTACTATACTAACCCGTCCATATTACATACCCAAGACCAGTGTTGGGGAAAGTTACTTTAGAAAGTAATGCATTACAATATGAGTTACTCCCCCCCAAAAAACTAGTTGCCTTCCCTGGTAGCAAAGAATTCTGGCCCTGATTTGGCATAAATCTGGCACAGCAGGCACTTATCCGGCATTGGCATACAGCATGTGGGCCAAACATGACCTTGGTTTGACAGAGTTGGCACCATCTTTAAGGTGGCATAGAATATTTAGGCCAGACGTGAAAAGTATTATTTGGCCCTGATGTTAAAAAAATTATATGTAGGCCATGTAAGTTTGGCCTATCTTGACCCACATTTAAAAACATTTTTATTATTTTCAAATAAAGAAAAAAAATTCTAATCAGGCCGCTTCAGACTTGGCCAAGATATGGTCCATGTTTGGCCCTTGTCTGGAAGCTAGACTTGGTCCAGTCATGCACCGTAATTTACTGCAGCATGTGGGCCAAGAAAAAGCTCATTATGTGGACCAGAACTGGGCCAGAGATATATTGCTGGGTTGCTTAGTTACTTTTTATGGTAAGTAATGTGTTACATTACTTTTGACTTCTGTGTTACTTTTTCTGCATTTGGTTTAATATACTTCCAAAACTTGCAGGTTTTTTTTTTCTTCTTCTTCTTTTCTTTTTTTTTTTTTTAAATAGAGGAGCTCTATATTAACAATGCACTGTACAACCTTTAAAGCACACATAATAAATGTAATATAGGATAATGTTATCTTCTGAGAACATCTTGGCCCCAGAGCTATACATGCCAATAACAGATTAATGAAAATTTAAAGCAATGTGGTTGCGACTTTTGTACTTTTTGTTTTATTAAAAAGTACAACCACTGTCCATTCAAATAATCCTCCTTTCCTTTTTTTCCATGTGTTCAAAACTATTGGAATATTTCCATCCCAAACATCTAAGGCTCTGCTGTCTTCATTTCTGTCTGTTCCAGCATTCTCATTGTATGCCGGACTTAACATGACTACATTCATTTTGATTCTGAGATTTATTTTTTAAAAGTGACCTAACTAAACTAAAAAGTAACTCACATTACATTTTTTAAAAGTAACTCAGATTTCACTTTATTTTTAAAAAGTAATGTGTTACTTTATTTGTTACTTGTATTGCATTACCATCAGCACTGTCCAAGACTCCTAGACCTGATTTTACATAAAGCTGGCAGAGGCATATACAGTCATATGTGAATTGAATATGACCAGGGGGTCCTATCCCCAATAGTAATAGGCTGAGTGTGTTTGTGGTGTCTGCTTTTACTTCAGTGTGTTCCATTGTGTTAGATGCAGAACTCAAATTCGGAGTATAGGACAACAATCAATACTTTCTTTTGTATATATACAGTACATAACTACTTTCCTTATATAAATATATATTTGTTAAGAATAAAAAGTGCAACCTTTAGAACTCCAACATTCCAACAACCTTGGGGATTCAGAATAGGGCCATACATTGATTGCTATGGTATATGTAGACTGAGTTCTTGCAACCAGAAAAAGTCAACTCATTGCCATATTTGAGCCAAGATAAAGTATTGTGAAGCGCATCACTAGGCCAAACAGATCTTGATATATAAGTAGATTATTTAACAGTCTGGGATTTAATGTAGCCATTTCTTGCATGTCCTCTTGGAAAGCCATTCAGAAGCCTTTAGCGAAATGGGTTTGTGAATTAGTCACATCTCTGCATGAATTATATTTGCCGTGACAGCACAACACATATCATTATTCATATGAGCATAAGGTTTCAACACGTGAACATGATTTCAAGCCTTTACCAAACAACATGAAAGACTTAAAATGCTCACTCAGTCACACTCGAGTCACAAGCTGTTTATTTGGAGATCTGTGCTGAAGAGTCCACATGGACTGGTAAATATCAAATATTGCTCTGAATATAGATGTATACTTGTTTTTCTATGATGACTAATCATGTAGTCTTCAGATTTTGCGTTAAATGTTTATGTATGAAGTTACAAACCGATTTCCACCAGGATCCGGAGTGTTCTGGTTCACACCTTTCTCTCACTGATTTCCTCTCTTGCCTTTGGGATACCAGAAGAATCCCCTCATCATCAGTTATCTGGTAAGCTGCTCCTTTTAAGGTTTTGGCTTTGTTTTCACTGGTGAAGATTCTGATGATTAAATGTGTTTTACCAAAGGAAATGTCAAAGGAAAGCTTATTTTCCATCAGATGGAAGGGAATTCAACATACTTGCGCAAAACAGGGAATCTGGCATCTTACACTAAAACAGTGGTTTCATTTGAACTCTATGACCCGAGGCATATCCTGCGCTCTGTCTCTTTTACATACACATGGGATTTGGGCAATGGGTAATTCTTATTTCAATACATTTAATTTTCTCGTATCTCTAAAAATGATGTTATTTACAGCTGTCATTGTTTTTAGGGAAGTGCATAAAGGCCCAGAGCCTTTTGTGAAGTTTTACTACGCCTTACCAGGGAACTACACGTTAAAACTGAGCATTGAAACAGATGCACCTCAGCATTCCAGGATGACAGGCCTGTACTCGGTAGATCTGACTGTATTAGGTGAGTGCAGATTCTGAATCACTTATTATCAGTGTTTATATTTGACCCTTTTTATAGTACCAGTGATGCTAACAAGTCAAAGATTATGTTGTTTTATAGATGCTATTAGATACGTTGATCTGATAGGACCTGTGATTTATAACGTCGACCAAAACAGCAGACTGTCCTTTGAGGTTGGAGGAAGGTAAAGCATATTTCCAAACATATATATTTAGTCCTACACTGTAAATTACACAGTATTTTACTGTAATGTGAACTGTATTTTACATTTGGACATTTATGCAGTATGTTACTGTATTTTATATATGTATTGTGAACATTATAGTATTTTTTACCGTTAAGATATACAATACTGTTAATACACATACAGCAAGATAAATGGTAATTTAAATGTAAATATAGTATTTTTGCTGTAATTGATTTACAGTAAGTTACTGGCGAACTACTGCCAGTAAGTTATTGTAGAGGGAATTGTTCATTGTGTAACTTTTGATTAAATAAAAAGTCATCAGACTTTGATCATTGTTTTTTCTCTATTGCATGTGACGTCTATAGCCCTCCGGTTTGGCTGTGCTGGAGAGTTTTGCCTGATTGCCACACACCCAATCCAGCTTCCTGCAGTTTAGTCCAGATCTATGAAAACACTTTCTGTCTGAACTACACTTTCACATCTGTAGGAACGCACTGCTTAGACCTGAGTGTGAAAAATAACATCAGCAGCCTCCAGACATTCTACAGCATCTATGTGCAAAGCGGTCGTAAGTATAATACTTTTATACATACTGTATATACAACAAGTTTTATTTTATAAATTAAAAGAGACACTGGGTGACACGATGGCTCAGTGGTTAGCACTGTCGCCTCACAGCAAGAAGGTTGCTAGTTTAAGTCCTGACTGGGTCAGTTAGCTGTTCTGTGTGGAGTTTGCATGTTCTCCCTGTGTTCGTAGAGAAGGGTATAAGCGGATGTCGGAGCCAGCTCCAAGTGGGTGGGACTTGAGCTCCAAGTGGCCTGTACAAATCTGGAGTTTTTATTTGTTTAATGTACATGACACAGAGTCCAATATTATGCTTTATGAATGTCTACACCTCAACCCTTAACCCAAACTCACAGTAACCTGTTGTGTTTTATTAACATCTACACCTACCCCAACCCTAAACCCAACCTCACAGTAACCTGATGTGTTTTATTAATATCTGCTCCACCTACATCACCTAAGCCCAAGGTTTAAGTCCCTCCCACTTGGAGGTCACCCAATCTACTCTCGATGTAATTCCTCCCACTTGGAGGTCTCAGGGCTGCAGTGATACCTACCTGTGTTTGTGTGGGTTTCCTCCGGGTGCTCTGGTTTCCCCTACAGTCCAAACACATGCGCTATAGGTGAATTCATTCATTCATATTCTTTCCAGATTAGTCCCTTTATTAATCTGGGGTCGCCACTGGGGCATGAACCACCAACTTATCCAGCATATGTTTTACATAGCGGATGCCCTTCCAGCTGCAACCCATCTCTGGGAAACTTCCACACACACTCCAATGTCCAAGGACATGCGGTACAGGTGAATTGAATAAACTAAATTGGCTGTAGTGTACGAGTGTGAATGAGTGTTTATGGATGTTACCTGGTACTGGGTTGCAGCTGAAAGGGCATCCGCTGTGTAAAACATATGCTTGATAAGTTCATTCATGCGGTTCATTCTGCTGTGGCAACCCCTGACAATTAAAGGGACTAAGCCAAAGGAAAATGAATGAATAAAAGAGACAGGGGGGGTTCCTGTAAATAAAATAATATATAATTTTGTGGGACAACTGAAACATTTTGTGGAATAAAAAGAAAATTCTGGGTCCCATTTTATATTAAGTGGCCTTAACTAATATGTACTTACAAAGGAATTAATATTTTGTTACAATGTACTTATTGTTTAAATACATGTATTTACTGTGTACTTATGCTTGGTTACATACATGTATGTAATTACATCTGTAGTTAACTTTTGTAATTACATTTGTACATACACTGTTGACCATCCCTTACACCTTAACCCACCCTTAAACCTACCCATGAAACCAAACCTGTCCATAACCCAACCTCTATCCCAACTCAAAAGCACCACAAGTGTTCTCAAATACATTATAAACACAGTAAGTACATTGTAATTATTTTTGATGCAAGTACATAGTAGTTAAGGACACTTAATATAAAGAGGGACCAAATTCTGTCATGAGTTACTCACCTTTGTGACTTTTTCAAAAAATAGTTCACCCAAAAACAGTATGCTCACCATTTTATCAACCTCCGCTGGTTCTAATCTCAAATTTCTTTCTTCTGTTGAACACAAAACAAGTGAATGTTAAAGGTCAATAGCTATGGTTCCATACAAAGATGTGAATTAGACTGAACCCGTTGATGGTGGACTTTGGCTGAGGGGTTTAAGAATGACCAAAACAACATTTCAGATATTGTGAAATGTGGTCAAGCCACTGTTTTTTCTCTCTCTCTATTAAATAGGACTTATTATGCCCCTTTTTCAGTGGTGGAAAGAAGACTGACAAATCAAAAGTACTATTACTTGCCTAAAAATGTAGTGCAAGTAGAGTAAAAGTATCTGTTGTAATTGTAAATATTCCTCAAAGTATGAGTAAAAAGTAGACTTTTCAAAGGTTCTCATGAGTAGTGAGTGGTGAGTATTACGCTGTAAAAAGCTGATGCGTTAACATGTAATTAGTGGATGTGTGTAAACGTAATATTCTGTAGGGCATTTAGTTATTGCCCAGCTAGCAGGCACACATTGTCGTAAGACGTTAATATTGGGTTAGATTAAGGTTGTGATGTCCGGTGACCTAAATTCAATAGCCAACGTCTAAGGATGTTATTTTGAAATTCCGTTAAAGACATCAAATGACGCTGATATTTGATTAATTTTAGGTTGTGTTAGAAATCGACCAAAATCCAACGTCAAGCCTACGTCTTACACTATCGTCATATTAACGTCAAATACAGACATTTATTCATAAGGTATGGCAACCAAAATCAAACATCTGATAGGCGTCATGGTGGTAACTTCCACACAACATCAAGCTGTAACATCATTAGACATTGATATTTGGTTGATTTTAGGTTGGACGTTAATGACGTTGAGTTGTGATGTCAGTCCAATTTTCATTTCCAAACAAAATGCAACGTCACCACGACATTGGGGTACAATCTCGATCTAATCATGTTGACATCTTCTGCCTGCCTGGTGTTTAAGGCCATTTCGGTCATCATACAGCAAAACATCTGTCATCTTCTCATCAGTGACATGCATCTAAACAGTCTCTGGGTCAATGTGTGTAAAGATTTTGGACATCTTTATGGACACTTTCAATGCTTTTAAACAATTATAAATCGCCCATGTCTTGAGGTAGTTCATTATGATGTTATTTACCTTCTGTATGCGATCTGTTTGGACTCACAGGACTGATTTTTCTAATCCCCATAAACAAGAAATAATAAAGTAGTGACTGCAGGTTGAAGGAAAGTGAAGTAAAAGTACCAATACATTTCTAGAAATGTACTCAAAGGAAAGTAAAAGTACACATCTTTAAATCTACTTAGCAAATTATAATTTCTGAGAAAAACTACTCAATTACAGTAATTGGAGTATTTGTAACTTGTTTCTTTACACCACTGACGTTTTTACGAAATGTAAAGTATCTGTTCTTGGCATTTCTCTGCTCTTGCACATCTTGGCATTTCCATTATGAAAAAATACACACAACTTTTCACAATACATCTTTAAAAAACACTAGCATACTGCATAAATGTCAAACAGTAAAATACAGTTCATATTACAGTAAAATACTGTGTAATTTACAAAAATCCTTAACTGTGTAGCTAATGGCTGTAACATTCTTCAGTATTTCTTCCACTGAATTCAACAGAAAAAAAACCCCAAACATGTTTAAAACATGTGGTGGATGAGTAAATGATAACGTATTAAAAAAAATATTTTGTGTGAGCTATACCTTTATTTGCAGAACAATTGCATATGAGCACTCTATCAAATATAATGGTGATGACAGAATTTTTGAGTAAACTATCCCATTTATTGCACTGAAAGATTAGCTGTGTGAATAAGGATAGACGTTTAACACTGCTGTGTCTGTCAGAATACTGTGACATTTGAAGCAGCACAACATGACGTTTGAGATACCTTCAGGCAATTTTTGTTCATTGATGATTCATTCAGCCTCAGCACTGAATTACTCAACGGTACAACATGACTTGCAGCTCTTCAGAAATGTTTAATAACTTGTTAAGAGATTCAAATGAGGTGTTACATATGAATTAGTGCATTCTAAGCCAGTTATTCTCAATCTTCAAGAACTCTACTTTTCCACAATATTGTTTTTTAGGGCTCTACTTTCCCCCCAAATATTTTATTTATATAAACTAAGAGTGAAATGTTAACAATACTAAAAATATAATAATTATAAATACTACAGTAACATTATATTAATATTATTACATGTCTTCTCCGTTTGTTTAGAATACACTGTTAAACCCGATAAGTTAACTTAAACTGTTTGAGGAAACCATTTGCGGCAAAGCATTTAAGTTTTGAAACAAAATGGTTTGAGTATACTGCAAACTTATATATTGTATCACATGCACATATGTGTTGATATCATCAAACTTTTAAAAGAATTTGTAACTTAAACATTTTAAGTTCAGTTATCAAATCCTTGTTAGTTCATTTAACTTAAACAAATTAGGTCCAAACAACTACAAAGCTTTTCAAATGGTTTGGTATTCCTTTTAGCATTTAAGTTAACACACACACACACACACACACACACACACACACACACACACACACACACACACACAAATGAATTAATTCATAACTCATTTGATTAGTGTTCTGCTTAATATAATCAGCTTAGGAGTTACCATTACTTTTTCATTGATTGAAGTAACTTTTTAAAAAATTATAAGTTTAACTAACTTATTTCATTTTGTGACTTTCACTGTTCGGTTTTGGAGTGTATGTATAAGAATGTAAAATAAATAAATAAGAAGTATTTATTGAATTAATATTAGTATCTAATTATAAGTACTGCTATCTTATGAATACTGATAATGCATAATTAGTGTATATTTAATAGGTACTGCCATATCATGAATTGGTACCAGAATAAATAAGCACAGATTAAGTAGTGGTAAAAAGCTGTGAAGAAAAGCTATAAACAACAAGTACTGGTAGACTTAAGAAATAGTTAAATAAAATGAAAATGTACTCTCTATTACTGACCCCAAGTGGTTTTAAACTTTTTCTTGAAAAGATATTTTAAATTTTAAAAGCAAAAAAAGTTGTAAATGTGTATGAGTTAACCTTCATATGTTTGTTTTTTAACTATGGATGTCAATGGCTCCCAACATTTGTCAAAGTATCTGCCTTTGTGTACTCAAACAGCTATGAGACAAATGATATAAATGATGACAGAATAAAAAAATTTTGAGTGAACTATCTCTTTAGAGTAAATACTAATAATTTAAAATGAGTAGAAGTGGCATTAAAAAGATATTACAGCATAGTTTCATCGTTAAAAAGAATTTATTGTGTTACTGTGAACACAAGCATAGAACTGGAAATATTGTGTTTATTTAAGTAACAAAATATTAACTTCTAGATATTTGCATAAAATAACATAAAATAAATAAACCACATGCTATTGGACAAGAATTAGGCTGTGAATCCGTCCCCCAGTACTATTTCCCACTTGCATTTGTGTTTGTGTGTTTGTGTCACGTGAAAATGTGTATCCATTGTTTTCCCTCAGATGTAAGTCTCTTCTTCCTATTGCCCTGCGCTGCAGTGATTGTTGCGACCCTCATATTTATCTTTGTGACCGTGTGTCGTCCACGCCAGCGGTCTCTCATGTGTAAGGTGAGTTATTCAGATCAGGAAAAACACAAATAACCGAGAATAACGTCTGTAACATGATTGTGAAGGGCATTTCTGGATAATATTGTAATATTTGGATTTGTCCACTAGAGGCTGACATACTCTAGAAAGTGTTTAAACGGTTCACTAAAAAAATGAAAACTCTTGTCATCATTTGCTCTCCCTCCAATTGTTCCAAACATGTTTGAGCTTCTTTTTCTCTTGAACACAATAGAAGATATCGTGAAGAATGCTGGAAAGCAACAGCCATCAACCTCCGTTGGATGTTTTTGAAACTAGAAATTCATAGACAGTTAGAACACTTTGAGGGCTTGTAAATTATGAGGAAATGTTTATTTTGGGGTGAGCTGTAAAGCTTTAAGGTATTAAAAAAATAAAAGCACATTTTTATGTACCTGTAGTAGTTTATTTTTTATCTTTCTTTTTGTTTATTTATTTTTTTAATTTGAAATCTTCAGTAAATGACTTTGTGAATGTATTTACGCATAGCCTACACACTAGTTTTAAAGTTTACAGTTACAGTTAACTAAATTTTCAGCTGTGTTTACGCCAGTTTTCAGTGTCAAACAATCCTTCAGAAATCAAATCAGTAATTTCTTTTAGGATTCCATTTATATTTTTGAATTATTTGAGAAACATGAAAAAGATCAGCATTTATCTGAAACACGGAGATTTGTAACATTCTACTTGCTGTTTAAATAATTAATATATATATTAAAATATTATTCAGCTTGGATGCATTAAATTGATTTTATGTCAATGGCGTTTTTTCCCAGTAGTTTACTTTTTTAGATTAAGTTTACTTATATAGTTTACAAGACAAAGACAAAACTAGCCTTCCTAAAATGTAGTTATTTTTCTAATGTTTCCCAAATGATGTTTAACAAAGCAATGATTTTTTTCCACAGTAATATATATATATTTTAGCCCCCCTGAATTATTGCCCCTCCCTGTTTATTTTTTTTTCAATTTCTGTTTAACGGAAAGTATATATATATATATAATTTCTTTTAGTTTGGCTGATGAAACGAACATCTTTTTTTTCCGATTAGCTAATAAACCACTGTTGTTCAATAACTTGCTAAATTAACTTCAATTAACTAACCTAGTTAAGCCTTTAAATTGCACTATAAACAATGATCTCGCAAATTAACTAGTTAAATAATATCTACATCATTATGGCAAATACAAAAGAAATTACAATTAAATTAAATGAATTATAAATTAGTAATTAAAAACTAATGTTAATCTGAAAATAATCTCCCTCTTAAACATCACTTGAAAACTATTTGAAAAACACATATTTTATAAACATATTTAAATATTACAAATGTAACATGTCTCAATTTGTCTTATTTTTGTTTGCCTTCAGGGAGATTATGTCTCCTTCACAGACATCGAACTGCGTGCAAAGGATGCCACCGTCCCTTTGCAGAGCAATTCTTCTGCATCTAAGACAAATGAAACCCAGCTTCTGCTTTATCAGCAAGGGCCTTCCTACAACCCAGAATCCTGTTAGTCTCACACAAGATGTATTCATTAAAACAGATCTTTCATTGCATTATTTTGCTGTATGGTCTAACTTTTTATATTTGACACAAACAAGCATTGTGAATAAACACAAAATAGAACCTCTAAAAGCTTTTCACTTAGCTCATCTGAGTCACTCTGTCAATATGAACACATTCATGCTCCTTCTGCTCTTTTTGTTTACATTTGAAAAGGTTTCAGGGTTTGATTCATGCAGGCTGCATTTGCTAATGTGAGAATTGTTTTTAGATTTTGGGTTTTTTTTTTTTAATTGTCTAATGAATACAGAAAACATCCAAAAAGCACTTTTATGTGTTTTTTTGTCTGAGCCATACATCTCCATTTCAGCAGTACTTACATACACCAAACAGTTGTATTTAGTATTTGGTAGGTAGTTACAGGATGTACACTGTAAAAAATGTCCAGAATTTTACAACATGTTACTGTAATTTTTCACAGTAAAGTTTCACAGTAATGTGTTGTATTCAAAGTTTTATTGTGAAATTATGGCAGGTTGCATGGTTACAGCAGATTACTGTAAAAAGGGCTATATCTTTTGCATGTTATTTATAGGAAGTCAAACTCTTTTGATTTCATTTAGCATAGATATTAACACAAATGAACTTTAATGCCAGTGTTGGCACTTTTTGGATATTTAGAAATAACATAATGTTATTGCAGCTCCAAAAACAATTTGGTTACATCTTCAAAAATAACTTTAAAAGATAAAATCATCCTGTTTTGAAACGACATGAATGTCATAGTAAATTGAATTTGGTAAATTTTGCTATGTAAATTTAAATTGGGTGCACTCCACCTTTATTTAGTTTTCTAAGGTTAACATGGGAATGTTAATACATTTTAATGAACATAACTTTGCCCTTAGCTAAAAACATAATAAACTGGAACAAAAGTAAATGATTTATAAAGCCAAACACTGTTAAACACCCAAAATGACTTCGAAGTCAGGGTAAATATCAGAATGAATATCCGTGGAAAGCCTGCTTCACAGTAAAATAGTTAACTTCTACAAGGTTATGCTGTGAAATCACAGTAATGGACTTATCTACTGTGAAGTTTAACTATTTGGCTGTAATTTCACAGTAATTTAATGTAACAAAATTACAGTAAATTACTGTGTACTCATGGTAATTTGCTGTAAATTTACATACAGTATTTTACTGTGAAAGTAATGCAATTATTAGCCAGTAATTTACTGTGAATTTAAGATATTTTTTACAATGTGATTTGCCTGATTATACAACATTATATTCTAAAAATATTGTGGAAAAAGCTGAATTTTTTTCTTCTGTGAAAAATGTGCCATAGAATGCATTGATACAATATGTTAAAATCTTTTGTAACATCTAGACTTAGGTTTAGGTAAGTGTAAACAAATCTCCAGTTTTGCTGGTCCATTTCCAACCCTGGGAGTTGCCCCGAATGTAAAATGGTTGTTTTTGACCATATTTGGAAGGATCGTGAATATTAATGAGCTCTGCTCTGATGTTTCAGCAGCACATGTTAGTGCCTTACATTCACGCACAGCGTGATGTACTCTGAAATACACATGTGCAAATTAGTCATACTTCAGTTGTCGAATGATATTTACACAAACTGAATACATTCCTTGTTAAATGACAATATTTTCAACTGAAGTGGTGGAGAGGTTTTTTTTAGCTAGGAGAGAGTCATGTGTTGTGGATAAAATATATTGGCTAACTTATACTTAGCAAAAGGGGCTGACAGAGAAGTATTTTTGTGAAATTTTGAGTTTAGTGTATTTGAAAGCACAAAAAGTAATCATTATCAACCTCCGCATAAACAAGTGAGTTTTATTTAGTTTATTTCTGTGTAACGAATATGGCCATTCAGACACATAATTATTTTGCTTTATTCAACAAATAATACACCATCGACCTCTCTTACCCAGGAAAAGACTGGATAGTCAGTTTGTAATATGACTCCAAGGTATTTACAATATGAAAGTAATGCATTTCGAAATGGACTCACAGAGACCTGGTCAAAAATTCTACACGCTATACGCTTGAGTCTCATACTTTTAATGTAAACTTTTATTCTCTCTTTATGTGTAATCATGTATTTTGCAACAAGTCTGTTGCCCATGTATTAATATTATGGTTTTAATACTTCTGCAATCAATGTTAAACTACCACAGCGAAACAAGATCATAGATGGTTCATGCTTGATGTCCCTGCAAAGCTAATTTGGTGTACTGAACGATTGTTTACATTCATGTTAATATGTGTGCAACATATTAACATTTTAAGAAACATTAAACTTTACATTTCTGCATCAGTTTACACCCAGAATGCCTATGCAAATCACTACAACCTGGACGGTGGGTACAAAACCATCCTTATAAAAGCTTGTGATCTAAGGCCACTGCTCAGACTAGAGTGAACCCATAAATAGAATCCAGGAGAACCCCGGTAGAACACCCAGAGAACTGCAGGGAGTATTCATGGACCCTGACAAAATGGTTTAACTGCACAACTCAGACATTCCTATCTCTGATACCTTTCCTTCTTTTCCGTCGAGAGTCTAGTTAAGTTTAGTGCATCGTAAAATCAGTAGTTTTGCCACTTCAAAACTTGAAACGACCGACTCCACCCCACTCCAAGCCTCGCGAGGGCAAAGAACTGACCACCAGCTAACCACTAGCTAAACAGAGCAAGTTCTTCACATCAAAAAAGGAACGCAAGTAACTCTTCCAGATTACCACTGAACTGGTGTAAACTAAATGTAACCCTAACGAGACCATAGAAGAGTTAAATTAATTATTTTAGGTTCACTTGGTTTGGTCTTACACCCCTTCAGACCCTGTGTCCATTATAATGGACATCACATGGCATCCCATGTTTTTTTTCACTTACGGAGCATTTCACCAAATTTTTAATTCCTCAATAAACTGAATGCTGCTATACCATATATCTACATATATGGTTTTATAATATTCTATCAATATGAATTAGAATATAAAACATTTATGTTGTTTTGTAAGGGGCAGTTTCTGTGTCACGAATCAAGACAAGGAGGATCCAATTGCGAGTGTTTTAATGAACAGAGGACACACGATAGTTCAAACAAACGAGAGCCACAGACCACAACGATGACATTAAACAGACAGCGGATGATACTGGGAGACAACAGTCAGGAACAAGGACAAACAAGGACAACAACGGACTGATAACCAGCACATACCACAGGAGGAATTTTATAGCCAGCCAAATGAGGTTCAGCTGGAGGATGATAAGTCAGCTGATGACATCAGCTGATCCTAGCAGGCTGTCAACACAAAACACACACCCTCACACATGACAACACACAAGGCATGATACATAACATACAGGAGGAACACACAGATCCATAAACCGTTACATTCTGCTAACAATTTTAGGGCAAGACAGAGATGAGTCACTGTTACCAGAGGTAGAGGGAGAAATTGAGATTGAGGCAGAGAAAAGTCAGGATCAAGAAGACAGAGAAGATCATGACCATGACGCAGATGTAGAACCATTACTTTGTAATGATGATGGTATAATGTTGGGGAAGTACAACTGTTTTGACCTCATGTCCACTACAATGGACAAAAAATAAAAATACACCTAAAGAGTGATGACATTTTTTTAAAATAATTTGATCTCATTAATGGGAGCCTCAAGAACTGTGAAAATATACTTTTACATTTTTTTTTAAATTTGGAACATAATTCAGGTCTGAAGGAGTTAAATTTCGATTTTGTTACCCTGCTTAAACATAGATGGGTTTTTATTTTTAATCGCAATAGCCATACTTGAAATCAACTGATCATTCAAACGGTCACTGGATGATTTGTTTGTTCGAATTTAAAGAGTCGATTCTTTTGAAGCCCTGTTCAAATGAATCTTCAAATCACTTGTAGCTAATTCGCTACATCTGTTTTTTATTTAGTTTATTGCTGTTATTTAAAAATTACAGCTAGTGCTGAGCACTTATATTCATCAGTTCACATGTGTCTGTTGCCTCATTTCAATCATACACCGCTAAATGCACAATATACATGTTCAACTAAATATGTAAAGTTCTCCAAAGTTTATACTAATCTTGATTGCCTATAGAGTAGTTTTCCATCCATCTTTTCTCTGAAAGCCTTTAGTTTTTTTTTTATAATTTTAAGATAATATAATAGCTTTACGATCTAAAAAAATGGCATGCCATAAGCAAGAGTGGCAGCTTCACAGTCACAGACTATATCCTATCATTTCACTGTAAATACAACGCGAACAATTTTGTTGTCGTAGCTTTTTGATGAATACAATTATACATGTATATATATATATATATATATATATATATATATATATATATATATATATATATATATAGTTGAAGTCAGAATTATTAGCCCCCTTCAAATTTCTTTCTTCTTTTTTTAATATTTCCCAAATTATGTTTAACAGAGCAAGGAAATTTTCACAGTATGTCTGATAATATTTATTCTTCTGAAAGAAATCTGATTTGTTTTATTTTGGCTAGAATAAAAGCAGTTTTTAATTTTTTAAACACCATTTTAGGGACAAAATTATTAGCCTCTTTAAGCTATATTTTTTCTCGATAGTTTACAAAACAAACCATTGTTATACAATAACTTGCCTAATTACCCTAACCTGCCTCGTTAACCAAATTACCTTAGTTAAGCCATTAAGTGTCACTTTAAGCTGCATAGAAGTGTCTTGAAAAATATCTAGTAAAATATTATTTACAGTCATTATGGCAAAGATAAAATAAATCAGTTATTAGAGATGAGTTATTAAAAATATTATGCTTAGAAATGTGCTAAAAAAAACCTTCTCTCCATTAAACAGAAATTAGGGAAAAATAAACAAGCGGTCTAATAATTCAGGGGGGCTAATAATTCTGACTTCAACTGTATATATATATATATATATATATATATATATATATATATATATATATATATATATATATATATATATATATATATATACTCATTTCCTTTCTACAACTATCTTCATCTGAAGAAATCTCCCCTCCTCCCCTTCTTACACCTTTATCCAGAATGGGTGGCACGGTGGTGCA